ACATAATTATATCGTAACACATGAAAAAAATAACAGAAAGAAATTTTTTCATGATCATATGAGTTTGCCGGATAACTAGTACTTATTGTTCACTACACGCCTAATAACTATAATAATATTTGGTCATGTTGAAGACAAAACCCAGAGAAATCATCATATCACATGACCTCGACAAATATTTCCCGATAATTATTTCCCCTTTTCCGACAACCATTTCACCGACAATCATTTTCACAGCATGACCATTTCCCCAATAATAAAGTCATGTTTTGAAATGGTCATGTCGGGGAAATAGTTGTTGAGGAAATGGTTGTCGGGAAAATGGTTATGCCGGGAAAATAATTATCGGGAAAATGGTTATGTCGGGGAAATAATTATCGGGAAAATAGTTGTCAGGGAAGTGGTTGTCGGATAAATGTTGGTAAACCATAATTTAGGCCGATTTGTTGGTAAATAAAATTCTACTATTTGATCCTAATTTAACTCTAATTTATTAATACTAGTAAATAATAACGTCGTTGCATGATTTCTCGAATACGTATGAATTTTTAAATCAAGTATCTATTACTCCCTTAAAAATCTCAATCATTCATAACTTATTTTACACCTTAACATACAGTACTAATAATATTATTTAATTTAATTTGTAATATTTTATACGTTAATATATTATTAAAAATATAAATCGAATGCATTTAATAAGAGTTTATTTAATTATGCCGAATCAAATAACTTTCGTGCTCTTGATGTAGGATCACTCCGGTTATTTGGTATTACTTATTATTTCTGTCAAATAACCGAGATATTTAGTAAAAAATTTAGTAAAAAAAACACGCAAACATTGCCAAATAAGCGAGATTTTAGACAAAATGCACGTAAACACTGAAAAATAACCGAGATATTTGGTACGTATAAAGAACGTGTCTACTACCAAATAATTAATTTATAATCAAAATTTTTGACAGTTGTATCATAGTAAGCTACCGAATAATACTGTTATTGAGTACTACGAAACAATAGCTTGTTTTATGGCTTTGAATTAAATATGCTATCCTTATAAAATGGTTGTATAAAATTCGTATTGCATGTGTAAAAAAAAAAGCTAAAAAAGGTGCCATTTTGACTAATTTTGTCTTTGTATTATATAACCTTCAATAATTTCTTTGTACAGTATGTTACTGCAATAATTTAATTAAAAATTGTAACAATGTCACCCATATGTAAATGCATAAATATCTATGTCCATAATCGAATATATATTAATAAATATTAGATCATCAATATTGTGATCAATATGCAACTGATGCAACCACCACATTGCCTAATGAGCTTAATGTTAATTAAGTTATGGTTATGCATCAAATGTGCTACGTAGTATAAAATAGGCGAACTATAACTTTTAATATTAAATATGGAAATAGATTTTTAATTATTTCTTTGTACGTACTCCGAATTTTTAATAAGCTTTTTTTTTCTAAATATTTTATTCTATATTCCTTATTTGAATTATTGAAGGAAAAAATTTCTATAATTTACGGTACATTGTTGTGCATCAATTTAAAGTTTACATCTTTAATTTCCTAATATGTTTTTTTCGAACTTTTTATTATGTTAATTATATTGTTAGGTTCTAAAGTGCAAATTTTAATAAACTTTATTGGTTAAAATTATCCACGAAATTTATTAAATGTAAAAATGTAACATTAAAAATCAATAATCGTATTCTTTCAAAAATCATCTAATTTTTAATTATACGCCAAATAATATATTAAAAAAGTAACGAATTACATTTAGGGAACAGGTATTTCCATACCCTTTATTCACGTGCATTATAACGTACAGCAAAAAATGAAGTATCATATTACATTACTCGATTTTTAAGCTGGAGTATTTGGATCACACATCGTAATATTGTTATAATTTTCATAACAAGGGTGTGGAAATACCAAAATAAGATGTGAAAATATTCGTTCCCTAAATTTATTTGATATAGATTACATGAACAAATACTAATGCTTATATATTACTTAATGCGGTTTAATAATTTATGATTTCAGTTATTATTTTCATTTTGAAAAATAAAGAATAAATAATAAAAATCAATTCAAGGTATATAAATATATAGAAATTAATAAAGGAATTGAATTGAACATTGTTAAAATGATATACATTAAAATTTACAGATTTAAAAGCAATTACAAGTTAATACAATTTCATAGTGTTACTTTTCCAAATATGTAGAACACTTGGCAGCGACACTGGGAATATTAAATTATTGTATTGTTATTGTAAAACTGGTTTTATGTTTACCTCACAAACGAAATGAATTTTGCCAAATCAGGTGTTACACGAGATTAACTACATTTTTAATTTCAAAACATTTCTCTTGATCAAAATATGATCTTGCCAAAGCGAACATTTCGGATTAGTCAGCATCAGAAAGAATGTATATAATAGCAAAACAACACCCAGTTTTATATAGTGAAATCTCTCTAAGTTCACCCTCTATAAATACACACCTTTTTAAATGTACACTCAGATTATGGCCCAAATATATACATGATATCAATAATTGCACTTTTTCTTATTATTTTAAAAGTGCACGTTGTTAAAATCTGGTCTCATGTGTGCACTTAGAGAGGTTTCACTGTATCTAGGTAATCAGAATTTTAATGGATTTCCCAAACAATTGAAACAACGTTACATCTGGTTATTTTGTTTTGACCAAACAAATTTGATTGGGTATCACAAACGAATGTTACATAAATCGAATAAAATCATTGGCTAATTTTTAATTTTATTCTTCTATAAATGCACGTCTTGGAACTATTCCTAACGACGTGCATCTATATAGACCTTACTGTATACTATATATATATATATATATTTAATATGGTTATCCTAAGATCTTCGGTCTTTATCCTCCTTTTGTCCCTCGTGACAATTTCACTTGGAAACCCCGTACCCTGTACTCATACTACTACCCATCCCGCCACTACTCATAAAAGTACTCCAACACCCACTTGTACTGAAAAAAAATTACCTCCACCACCACCACCTAAGAAAATTGTCGAAAAACCTGAAGTACATGAAGTACATGAAGAACATGAAGTACATGAAGAAACCGAAGAATGCAAAATCGAACGTGTCTTACTCATTTCAATTGATGGTCTCCATAAAGTTGATGTAGATGTGTTTACCAAGGCTAATCCAAAATCTACACTTGCAACCATTCTTGAAAATGCCGTATATTTCACAAACGTCTCAGATTCCTTACCAACAGATTCTTTCCCTGGTCTTATGGCTCAAATTACTGGTGGTAAACCTGCAACCACTGGTGTTTGGTATGATAATTCTTGGTAAGTAATCACTAATAAAAATAATAAAAATAATAAAATAATAATAATAAAATAATAATAATAATAATATCAATCTTGTATTAAACCATTTTATTTTTACTTTTAGGGATGGAACTTACTTTAAACCTGGATCAAATTGCACTGGTGACCCTGGTTTAAATGTTCTCTGGGATGAATCTCTTGATTTAGACCAGAATAAACTTAACACGACCATTAATCAAACTGCTCTCCCAGAACGACTTGATAAAGATGGTTGCTGTGTAAAAGTTCAACCATGGGATTTCCTTCGTGTTAATACTATTTTTGAGGTTGCTAAGAATCATAGTCTTACAACTGCTTGGGTTGATAAATTACCTGCATATTCAATCGTTAATGGTCCATCTGGAAAGGGTGTTGATGATTTCTGGGGACCAGAAATTGCTAGTATCAATAAAACCGACGTTACACAAGTTGAACAATATGATAATAATCATACTGTAGCCATATTAAATTGGATAAATGGTAGAAGAGCTAATGGTACAAGTTTCAAGGTTCCCAATATTTTCGGTGGTAATTTCCAGACTGTTAGCGTTGCCCAAAAATCACCTGATGGTGGTTATAAGGATGGTGATGCTACTCCATCTGACGTCCTTAAAGGTGCTTTTAAATATGTTGATGGAATTCTTAAAAAATTCCTCGACGAATTAACAAAAAAAAATTTGTTAGATGACACAATCATCATAATTTCAGCAAAACATGGTCAATCTCCTATTAATAGAACATTACTTCATAGAATTGATGATTCAAATTTAACTTCCCAAGTCGGTGCTGACAAAATTAATCAGTTAACTGATGATGATGTTGCACTATTTTGGTTGAAAGATCATAACGATTCATCAGCTGCAGCAGATAGCCTTAGGAATAACGCTTCAGATCTCGGTATTGCAACAGTATACGAAGGAGATAGCCTCAAGGAAGAATTTGGCTGTTGTCCAACTGAAGATACTCGATGTCCCGATATTGCTATTAAAGTCACCCCTGGTGTTATTTACTCCCTTTCAACAAAAAAGATTGCTGAACATGGTGGCTTCAACGAAGATGATTATCACGTTCCAATTATAGTTTATAACCCCAAGATTAAAAGAAAAGAGGTTTGTGATAAGTTCGAAACTCGCTCAATTGCACCTTTTATTCTTTCCGTTCTTGGAATAGATGAAAAAGAGTTGGAAGCTGTCGTTAAAGATAATACACCCACTCTTCCTGTTTTTGATAAATAATGGTCACGAGGAATAATAACCATATACTGTACATTCTTTTACAGTATAATTATTGTTTAAATATTTATATACAGTATTTAATATACAGTATTTTATTTATCCGATTAATTTATTTTTATTACTGTACTTTCATTTGTCCTAATATTAATAATTGTTGCTATTTGTTGAATACTTTTCTTTTATTTACAATACAGTAATAGAAAAATTTAATATAATATTAATCTAGTCAAATTTTTATCACCCGGAGCGTAGCGGAAATTCTACGTTCTAAACCTGTTAGATAATTAAACCAAGAATACATCATAGTCCAATCAAATTGCGGGATATTACGTAACATTTAGTTACTTTATGTTATATATTATCTTGCAATCTTATTTGTAATATTTAAGTGCTGTACGTGATCAAATTATAATAAACTTTAGGATTCTATGTTTTCCTAAATTTTTCTTATTTTTAGTTACGTTATTGTACCATTCTTTATAATATATAAATTTATATCATTGATACTGTGCACTGACTAAAATATCTGGGTCTAATACAAAATACCTTACGAATACTCGGGTATATTAGGGCTATGTGGCGAGAATATATACTATCAGTGTTGGACACCTTATAAGTCCAATAATTTGAATTGTAATTGGACTTATACTTTAAGAAACTTAAATATTTTAATACGCAGCGACTGCATAGTAACGACGTAGTAATTACATAATTATTACATATTTACTAAGCATGGTGTACAATCCTCGTTACACAAACCTTCTAAATTTGAAACCTGTGACTCAGGGTCGATCTATCCAATAAAACTACGATTTGTTGATCACATGAAACATACACGTGATGAGCAGCAAATCAAAATTAATAAAATAATATGACGGTTTAATGTTTTATTTTATTAAAAATCGCGATTTAGTGGCTATAATTTGTTGATTTTTATATCATTAGATTCGTCTCTATGAGACGAATCTATTGGTATAAAAATCATTATAATATTACCCATTATATTACCATATTTTCGTGGAATAACGCTCATGAGAGTTAATTCGAAAATCGTGCCTCCTAAAAATAGCAAATATGGTCTCAAAATAACGCTCATGTGCGTCCCGAAATAACGCGCACCCATATAAGGTAACTATCAAATATTCCAGGTTCGGACTTTAAGATTCATAAAATAGCCAGTATTAGAAACATTAATGTTAAAATTAACATATATATTGATATATATTAACATCTTTGTTGTATATTTATTATTATCAAACAATAATTGTGTTTTCTATTTAAACTTTATTTATTTCAACACTGATTCTACAATTTTCGGTTTGTTAGATTCTAATAATAAAAGCTTTACATTAATATTAAACTTTAATTCAATTATTTTTCATTTAAACAGAATAATACACATCGTTTCATCTCATTTCAACAAATTAATAAATGACTTATTTTGTCTTTCTTAACTCCAATTCAATTAAGATTTCCTATTTGGAATATCTTTTTAACTCCATCTCAATAACATTTTCTTTTAAGCTGATCAACTGTTATTGCCTTGCCTAACATTCATCCTTTTTGATCCCGATTTTACTAACATTGCATTATTCTTTCAGCTTCAATTTCGCTTAGAGTTATCAGTACTAAAAATTTAATATTATTATATTAGCTCCATTAGTATTCTTTCACAAATATGAATAATAGATACTTTACCATATATTTTTATTTTTTTTCATCCTCAATTCCACTAACACTTCTATTTTAAAAAATTAATCGATATCTGATTTGACTTCAATTCCACGATACTCATGTTCCAAATATTTTATTTTTGACTCTGAAGTATTTCTACTACTAAATTAATTCAAAAACTCCAAAGTAAATAAAGTTACATTTATTAGAACATTAAATTTAGAAGTAATAACATGCCTATTCCTATATAGCATTGTTCAAGTAGTTCTTCGCATTTTATCATTATACCTATATCAATAATCTAAAAACTGCTAATATTGCATTATACTCAGTAAGAGTTAGGTTTAAAGTCTATCTAGCTGACTCATAATATATTGCAATATCTAAAATCTATAAATTACTGAAAGTTGACATTAAATTATTATCACAAAATCATCTATCAAAGGCTTTAGGTGATTAGTATAAAACTTTTTACTTAAAACATTTAAATAACATACTCAATACCACTGAAAAAGAGTAGTGAACAGAAGGAGTTGGGCCAGATATACTCTAATATAATACCAGATTTATATAGTTATTTGCTAAGACATGAGACATAAAACAATTATACATATTAACTTATTACATACCATATTTGTCCACATATCAGATTTTGCATTGCAACACTATAATTTTGACAGGGTGTAGGATCATTTTACTGTCACATGATAGTCAGAAAACAAATATTGTCAAATCTATAAAACTTTGGGTTCGGGTTTAAGAGAATTAAAAAGAGTGGGTATATAGTAAAATTGCATGAGGAATTTTTTTTGTTAGAGCTCCAAATATAGTTTACTAGTCTAAATTTCGAGATGAGCGCGATTTTTGCAAAGTAACTGTTTGTTTTGAAATTTTTTATATTACACCTGATCCTGAATTTTAATTGGATGATAGACATCGGAAAATCATGTGACAGTAAAATCGATCTTACGCCCTGGCATTGTTGCAACACTATTGATATAATAGCAATTAGAATGCATAAATGAATAGAGGCTAGACTTTTTAAGACATAACTATAACACTTTAGCATAATCGCAACAATTAATAAATTTTTTAAACATTTGTTTCATACTATCAGTTAACTAAATCAAGTAATTACAGTATTGTTAATTAAATTTATTATAAGAATTTTATAATTAAAAAAAAAGATTACTTTAAGTTTTAATCAATTTTCAATCAGCAGTATACTATGGCTTACAGGATCACAACCACTATAGCGAAATGATTATTTATATTGCTATTATTGCACAATACACTAAGTTATTCCCTAATCTAATATATTCTATATTCTATATAATCTCATTATTTTGTAATATATTAAATATGATAACTGGATTTAAAATAATAGGCTATTATGGAAACATCTAATTTTACTATAAGTAAAGTGGTTAATCTATCAGTTAAAAAGTTAATCAAAAAAAAAAATAATTAATTGTATTACCTTGACAAATTATTTAGATTTGTTAAAATCTAAAAAAGTGGTTAACAATATTATACATGTAAGTTATCAAAAAACTATTAAAATTATTTTTAAAGTATTCAAACAAGGAATAAATATAAGTGCGAATTTACTCTAGAGATTCATTCATTTGTTTATTATTATTTTTTTTTTTTTTGGTATTAAGGTGAGGTCTTGCTCATATCTTTATTGGTTAATTTATATAAGTAATTACATA